CCACTTAATCCAGCACCAAGGAATGCCATTTCCAAGTCAAATGACCCTGGATAAGGAGACCACCTGGTAACAGAGACCACATTTTGCAGGTCCCTTGAGCGGTCGTCTTACACAGGGTTTACTGTACTTGACCTGTGAGTTGGATTTCATTGAGCAGCATTGTAGTCAGATTTTGTTCATTCATTGTGTCACAAGTAAGCTGAGCACAGATATGCAACCTGTACTCACATTATAATTATTGCCTATCCGCTTCGGCATCAGGAGAATGAACAAGTCGAGCTCCGTAGCTTTCGCTCAGGCCGTTCAAAACGGGGGTAAAAAATAAAAAATAAAATCACATGATTGAAGTAGAAGAAATCACTTGGAAACGAGTTATGAAGCAACTATCCACGACTGTAACAAGATAATATTTATTGGCCCAGTATCCGAGAAATCACATTCATTAGTCTAGATCACCGTTCACTGTTCATTGTGCTGCTGTTGTTCCTAGCCTCCTCGTCAAACTCATCGTCCCTGCATAGACGTTCCAGCGCCGCCAGCAACCCCGCGACAACAGACGGCGGTGCAGCGATGGGACACCTGCGGCAGCCGTCTTCGCTCGCCTCCGTCTCCGTGGTGACGGCGTCCTCGGCTGGACAGCACTCGCTGGATAGTGTGTCTGTAGGCAGTAAGTGATTACTTTGAGTGTACACATGCAGGCGGACCTCGCTTATCCGCTCCTCTTTTATCCGGATCCCTCGCCATCCGGAAGAAAATCGTTGGTTACCGATTTACAGCATATGCCATGCATACATACAGTATGTGTGTTCGATTATCTGGTTCCCTCGCCTGTCCGGATGTAACATGATTGTATTGCTTACCAGGGAGTAGATATTTTAGTGTAATTTTATTACTCGGGGAGTAGGCAGTTTATTACCGAATTTTCCCCATTAAACGTACACGTCTCCCTTACTAGTACGTCCCCAATTGTAGTACATGTTGGGTGTGGATCGAAAATATAAAAGGACACGTCTCTAATAATAGTACATGCCGGAATGATGTGATGGGCATTAGTGGGGTACAGATACCAGGGTCCACCTTACTTCGCTTTTCTTACCCGTTCATCATCTTTGTGTCTTTGTACACTGGTTCTTACCATGGTTGGGTGTATTTACAGCCTTACAGCATCATTATCACGAGTTGTTTGTCACCCAACCCAGGCAATCAATCTTCCCAGAAACAGTAAAAGTTACACGTCTCCAATACTAGTACAGTCTCCTATAGTAGTACAGGTTTGACCACCTTTGAAAAAATAAAAGTACTGTATATTTATTGGGGAAAATACAGTATTTTGAAGTACTGTCCCCACACTGCGTCACAGGAATAAGCGACTCATTGTTCTTTGCCAAATATGGATTTGCGTGAGTAATGCATGTGAGTACACTGGGATCAGCAATGCACTGGTCCCCACCGCCTGCACGGCCATGCGCTTATGCACAGGTGGCTGCGTGAGGTGCGGATGGTATAAATTACGCTGTTGCACAATCAGCTCTAACGATGTATACGTGTATACGTGTGTACATTGCTCTACTAGGCGGTGGCCGTCACTCTATCGGCAGCAGCGGCGTAGGCGGCCCGACCAACATCCAGCGGGCCGACAGCATGGCCAGCATCTCCAGCACGCTGTCACGGCGACAGGCCGGTCGCCAGGAGCAGCAGAAGCATCAGCACGAAGAGGAGAGCCTGAGCGGCATCACGCACGTCCCCTCCGGCCTCAGCAGCAGCCACGTGGCACTGAATCCCACCAAGGAGAGTAAACAGGGCAAGCAGCCTCCACCGGCAAAGGCGCCCAAGCCACCGAAGAAGAACCCCGTCGACGATGAGCGCAAGCAGCATCAGAAAGAAGGTGAGAGCTGCTGCATACGTACTGAGTGCGTTCGATTTGCCCACGAATCGATGTTGAATCCATTCATGAATCGCCCCTGGCTATTCACACCACCCTATGTGAATAGGGTGAATGGATTCCGAGCCGATTCCAGGGCGCGTGACATGAAATCGAACGACGAGATTCCATTCATGAATCGATTCATGGCAGTAATCGAACACACTCATTGATGGGGCTTGCACACTCCAGAGTCTTCTTGCTACTTCCAGCCTTCGTGCAGGCGAAATTTTCGAAGTACACGATCCACCATAGCTGCCAGTTTATATAATATGTTGGTATGAAGGCATGAGGTGAGAAAAGCTTGATAGAAGATTGCATGCAGAGGGAACTAAGGCGTCTTGATGGGTGTATATGCAGTTTTTCACATAGACAATCTCTCTCCCTCTCTTCCCCAGGTCTGGAGTTGGTTGCACAGCTTCGCAAGCGCTACCAGCTGTCGCCGCAGAACTCCAACGGCGAGATTCTCGCCGCACACAGAGCGTCATCATCGGGCAGCACTGGCAGTGGAACAATCACCGACAGCCAAAGAGAGCAGCTGGCACATCGCCTGTCGTTCCGTGACGGGGTACGCGTGACGGACGCAGCGCTGTCCGATCGCACGCTGCCCAGCGCGACGAGCACGTTTGCCCAGGTCGCGGCGCCCGACCGGCCCGCCGCCGTCGTGGACAATCGCATGCGTACGGATCACGCAATGCCAGCAGACACCACAACAACCCTGCCTGCGGCGCATCGACAAACCCAAGCGCTGACGGGCTCGTTGCCGGGTGCCGGACAGCAGCGTGAGAGTCAGGTTATCCGTCAGAACATGCTGCATGACTTGTACGGCGAAGACAGCTCGGACGAGGACGACGGTGATGACGATGGTGCGGATGATGACGTCGGCGGTGACAATTACGCCGAGTACACCAAGCGCGACACCGGCATCACAGTCCACGACGCAATGGCTCTCGGTATCATGGCCAGCTCTGTGTAGCTGAAACCAGCTCTGACACCCGACCAGCTGTCCGTACACTGCCTGGTGGATGCCCGATATCCACACTGTCCATGACGTATTGGCACCAGGAATAATGGCCAGCTCCTTCTAGCTGTCAGGCGCTCAGGCCTTTGAACCGTAGTCCGTAACGTTATGTTGCCACTGTCCTCAAGCCAAGGACGTCTGATGGCACCGTCCATGACTCAATGCCAATGGCACTGGGAATAATGGCCAACTCCTTCTAGCTGTCAGGCGCTCAGGCCTTTGAACCGTAGTCCGTAACGTTATATTGCCACTGTCCTCAAGCCAAGGACGTCCGATGTCACCGTCCATGACTCAGTGCCAATGGCACTGGGAATAATGGCCAGCTCCTAGCTGTCAGGCGCTCAGACATTTGAACCGTAGTCCGTAACGTTATATTGCCACCGCCCTCAAGCCAAGGACGTCCGGTATCACCGTCCTCAACTCAATGCCAATGGCGGCGATTCTAGCGAGCTCTGTGTAGCTGCAACGCTCCGATATCTGAACAGCTGTCCGTGTATTGCCGCCACCGTCAGGGCGCTGCGTTCGCAGTGACGCTCGGCCTTGTGGCAAGATCCGCGGCGGCGGCGGCGGCGGCGGCGGCAGCTGCTTGCAAGCCGCATGCATTTGAAAACTTGAATCGTTTCCATGGCGGCGTCACGACAACAAAGGACATCACCATCGGACAGCGCCAAGGCACTAAGCAAGCTCGCCTGCCTCTAAATAGCAATGTTTATTTTTTTTACCAGTTTTACAGTATTCTGTAGAGAGAGAGAGAAAGAGAGTTTACCCTGTCTTCACATGCTTTATCTTGATTGTCTCAGCCAGGCAAGGAGACCTTCATCGTTCGGAATCTCAGGTCTCCTGGCTCTCCGTAGGACTATGTAAGGAGATGCATGCAGTTGATGTAATAAAATGCCGGTTGGTGTGTTGCAGCCGAGTTGTGGTCGATGATCATGCGCTGCGCGATGCCGTCCTCATGGCAACAGCACCCAGGGAGTCGCATGGCGGCAACACTGGCCCACTGCTGTGACACAGCACGGTCACCATGGTTACGTGTCCTGTGGGCTGCTGCCTGTAGGGATGACAGCACGCGGGCCGCTCATCTGACCCGGTGCTTTGTGACTCAGCCCGGTGTCACAATTAAATTGAGCTTCCCAGTGGAGAATTAACTTCTACAATACTCTGCATTCCTGCAACTTTACTTTATGATAATGATTCACTCGTGCTGCAGAAATTGTAACCATTGCCGATCGGCTTTGACACTGTGCATGCCGGGCTGGTGGGCAGCCCTTATGATTACGATGCGCTTATCTATGGAAGAAATAATGTAGGTGCTTTCCCCAACTTGTAGTCAGGCAAGTGTTCCGCAGTTTACCATGGTTTTCACGGCCATTATGGTTTCTTGCTTGCTCCCTCGTTTCTCTGCTGGTAATTATTTGGTGATGACCGTGACTCTGTGCTGGTTTTGGTTTCTGAAGCTTGTTCTGGTGGTTGTTTTCGTGTGTTGCCCGCAAGCGGCAGTCACGTCTGAATCTTACTTGCCAGGCTTCTCGTGTGTTGTGTGGTCGTCTGTATTATCTCTTCAATGGTATTGTTTGTTTGTTTTTGTTTGTTGTGTTGTTGTGTGCGGCTCATCCATCATTATCTTTGGCGGAGTTGAAAGTTGGCGCACGTTGGACCTGTGTGTGGTCAAGGTCTGGGACACTCACTTGATAAATGTCGAATGGGTGATCAAGCGTACAAAACCCTGCCCCCCCCCCCCCCCTCTTGGTGTTATCAAGACTGCAGAGTACAGAATCAGGGGAAGTATACCCTAAAATCAATTATTTTCACCAGTTGTAGTCTTCGGGGTGCTGAGTCGAATGGTCTTGGTCCGAGGAAGCTGAGACGCTCCCTTCCTCCTTTATTCCCAATCGAACTCGCGCACTTCCACCGAAACTGGGTGACTGCGCCCTACTAGATAGGGATTTGTATGGAAAAAGTCACTAAAAACGCCGTTTCGTGTTTATAAAAGCACGGATGACCGCGATTGGTCCATATGTTGTAGTCTTGTGGCCGCTGAGTCGACTGGTGTTGGTCCGAAAAGGCTGCGATGCAGCGTTCGGCCCTTATTCCCAATCGAACACGGTTGAGTGAGCGGTCACGTGCCTGCAGAGTACATCAAGATTCAACTCAAAGGTTCAAAGTAGGGAGTCGTAAGAGGCTTTTACGACTCCCTGGTTCAAAGGTTCAACTCGAGTGACATAAACGGACCCAAACAGGCTGTAAAATGAGCACGTGACCGCTTACTCAACCGCGTTCGATTGGGAATAAGGGCCGAATGCTGCATCGCAGCCTTTTCGGACCAAAACCAGTCGACTCAGCGGCCAAAAGACTACAACATATGGACCAATCGCGGTCATCCGCGCTTTTATAAGAACGAAACGGCGTTTTTAGTGACTTTTTCCATACAAATCCCTATCTAGTAGGACGCAGTCACCCAGTTTCGGTGGAAGTGCGCAATTTCGATTGGGAATAAAGGAGGAAGGGAGCGTCTCAGCTTCCTCGGACCAAGACCATTCGACTCAGCACCCCGGCGAAGACTACAACTGGTGAAAATAATTGATTTTAGGGTATACTTCCCCTTTAACTTACTTTGGAACTCGCGATACTTGTCGACTGACTGACTTGCGAAACTTTGGTTGCGATTGCTGCCTGGAGCTAGTGACAGAAGTGTCACGAGAAGAAGCAGCTGATGGGGGTACTGTGCATTGAGCAGGACTCCGTGCTGCTTTCTTACAGGTTTGCCGAGTGGACGGTTCGGCATTCTTCTTGTGTGCTCCAGTCGGCAGTCGTAATAGTTGGCATTTTGTGCTACATGTACTCCCGACCCCAGGGCCCAGGTCACGAGTCAACCAAGTGTTAGCCAGTCGGCAGGAAGGGCGAACTCCAACGATAGGAGCAGAACCCTTCTTCTAAAAGGTTTGACCCCATCCGGCCGCGGCCGTCGAGGTTCCTTCGATCCATTCAGTTCTCATTCCGCTTCCAAGCCGCTTCAACTAAAAAGTTATTTCAAGTAAGATAGTTTAGTTCAAGCAGGGAGTAGCAAAAATTACTTCCCTGGTTCAAGCGATCTTCAATATTTTCAAGTCGATCCGCGATCCATATCCGGTGGGAGAGTTCACTCTACGTAGCTAGCTACCGATCTGGCCGAGTGCACGAGTGTGAACTGTGAAGACCGGCGCGGTCGGGGGATCCGGGAGGCACCGAGGTCACCGGGTACGCGGGTCACGGGTTACGGGGGAGCCGCATCGTGTGTGGTGAGGACGTCACCATGGGCACAGCCTAGCACACGCCTAGCGCTAGCCGCGCGCTGCAGCGGCTTTCCAAGAAGCTCCATGATCCAGTACGGCCAGTCTGGTCCAGGCTCGAACTCGTCGCTGAAGTCGTGAAGACGAAGGACGGGGCGGGACCCTTCCACGTGCCGTTCGACACCCTTGGCCTTGCGAAGATGGCTGCCGCGCAAATACCGCGAAAAGGCAAAATATCCAAAACTCATTTTTGTTTGTTCCGCTTGTGTCACCGGTGGCCAAGCCAGCTGCGCTGGAGTAACAGCGGTGGTTGCTCCAGTTTGTACGAGCATAGCCTGCTTCCTCGGACCGAGTGAACATTGGAAAGTAATAGTTCAGCAGCATCCAGCTCCAGCTTTGGTTTCCGCCATCCGTCAAGTCAAGTCGCCGTGTGCACCCTTTCCGAATTCGGTATCGACGAGGCGTATTGTGGCTTTCCTCTCCGAGGCTGGTCTGCAATAAGCGACCGTCTTCGCCACTGGTAACTGCATAAGGAACTTCGCTTGGTGCTGGAGCGGAGCAAGGCAGCCCGAAGAGCGACTGAAACTGGATGCGTTTCGAAAAAAAGGGTGAACGGAGCAAGCTTCGACGCCATTATACAAGTTTTTGCGGGGAACGTCAGCAACGCCGCTTGTAGCTGCCCTGCTAGTTGATGAAGCAATGACACAACAATGGAACCCATTCGGCAGCTGACGTACGGGATGCCGACTACGGTTCGAAGCAGAGTTCTGAAGTGAAAAGATGGTCCGTGGCAGCTGTTGACACGAACACTCCCCAGTTAAGAGTTCGACCTGTAAGTACAGAAGTGCAGCATGCACAAAATTAATGAACGTCCTTCACCGTACTATAAATCCCCTTTAGGGCCCGGTCACACATGCACTCGAAAGTAGCGTATACGCTGAAGCGAGGTCGCAGGAGCGAAAAATGGCATGGCAACGGCGAAAAGCGGAACTTCCGCTTCAGCGGAAACTCCAATCCGCTTCCTCCAAATTTTTTGAAGCGAGACTGTCGCTTCTGCGGATTCGCTTCAGCGGAAAACACCACGGTCTGCTGTGTATGGACTTGCTACGAGAAATTTGTATGCGTATGATGTCCATGCAACAAAAATGCGTGCGAGATAGTCATTGACCTCGTCTATTCTCCGTACCGTATGCACCACAGTCTCATTTTCCGCCAAAGTAGGAGTTGTGCCCTGTTTGTATGTGTGACCATACACACGTGGTTTCGCTGGAGCGACACCAGGCTCGCTGCCGCCGAACCTCGTCGCCGAAGCGAATCCCAGTGCATGTGTGACCGGGCTCTAAAATAACTGCACGTCTCAAATTATATCCAGTCCAGTCTTGCTTGAGAAGACTAGTATCAAGAGTAGATAAACAAGAGTGTGCAACTCCGCATCTCTCCTGCACAATCTGCAGATACCCCCGCCCACGGCGGAATTTTTTGTTGACGTCACCTTTTTTCAGAAGAACGCGCATTTCGCCGCAGCGCAGTGCGAGAGCACGTGCTGGGCACCGGCCTTGTAGTGTAAAGCCGGCCAAGAGCACGAGGGAAAACTTTCCGAAAGACTCGCAGCTCGTGCGTCGTCGAAAAGATTACGTCAACAAAAAATTCCGCCGTGGGCCTACCCATCCGCGAGTTGCATACTCTTGTTTATCTACTCTTGCTAGTATTTATAACATGCTAGTAACTCAATTGGATAGATCAATCACTGGGTGAACAATCTGGATCATTTGAAGAAGAACTCCCGTTATTGCTAACACTGAGAATACCAGGAGTCCCTTGGTGCTCGTCCTAAAGAGGGACAGTGGTGCATGTTGGGTGCTGGTCTACACTGGAAGGATATACGATGTCTTACAGTAACTCAGGGGCATGGGAAGTTAATCCAGGGTGGTACGATCAGCCATCTGTAGTGCAGTTTACTTGTTGAAAGGGGTGACTCTGCTGAAGATTTTCCAAATTTAGAGTCCAAATCAGCGCTTTTGATCAGCCCATTGCCGAATATGGAAGGTATGAGTAATGCATGTCAGTACGCTAGCGCTGGGATCAGCAATGCACTGTTCCACACCCCGGACGACCATGCCCAGGTGGCTGTGTGGGGTGTTTATCGTACAAATTACGTCATTGCGCAATGGGCTTATTGATTCATGGGGTACCTGGGGGCGACAAGTGGCACGGCTAATACGGTAGTGACCGTAGCGTGTCCGACGCCCCTGCAGTTAGTCCCTGTTTCCACTATCTTCTGGGCTCCACTTGCAGTGCTTTAACCCCGCCCGACATACTGGAGGGCTTTAAACATCGTCTGCAGGGCGGAGCTGAAAAACTGCCTAACGTTCTGTACCGAAACATGATATAAATCCCCACATAACAACAAGGACAATCGAGGCTTGTTAGTCGCTACTCTTGAGTTTCATACTTTCGCAATCATCAGGCAACATGGGGCCATGCCGGTGTACATGTACATGTATATGCCAGGAGAGGGTGGGTCTTGTAGCGCTGTATGAAACGCTGTGTGTGAATGTGGGGGCTGTATGTGTCAGGGCTAGCGCTGGTATTTTAGGCAGGAGGCTATAAATCCGCATCTAGTCGGGTTTAGTCACCCAGTTTCGGTGGAAGTGGCGCGTTCGATCAGACCATCTGGGACGAAGGGAGCATCTCAGCTTCCTCGGACCAAGACCATTCGACTCGGCACCCCCGAAGACTATGAGTAGTGAAATTTTGTTAAAGACACTGTATACTTGTTTTACCGTAGCTCTCTATAAGTTGCTGTATTTTGACATTTTTCCATTATTCCCTGTACTTACCCATGATGAGAAGGGAACGAAAACGTTCGGTTACTAAATTGGCTTTACTTGACTGTGGGGCCCGGATTGCGTCGGTGCTGACACTTTTTTCTTTTGCCACTGTAGACTAGTACACGTTTCCAGTTGACTTCGTTTCCAGTTGACCTTGGATAATGCAATAATTATAGAGTCTCTTCCAGTCTATGTAGGCATGTGCAGTTTCATTTTTTTTTAGGAGTACCTTTGCCAAAAAGTGTAGATGTTGTGTCCCCTGGAGGTATGGTATATCCCATTGTTATGTCCCCTGGTTTCTCGGCACTTGTGCCAGTGATTGTGAGACTCATCCACTCGTCCCCACTGTTAGCCGCTGCATCTGCCGCTATGGTTTACTGTAAGACCTGTATATATAACGAGGAAGCAAATCAAACGTTTTAACGGATGACATTTCTTCGTTATAATAAGATCCGTTGAGGCCGTACTGCTTCGTATATGCTGTGTGTGGATATGGCAGAATACTGCAAGATCGTTAACATATCTTCTCGTTAACCTATGAAGTTTGGACAATCGTTAAATTTGCGACTCGTTATAATAACATGTCTTACAGTACCGGGTGTTAGCGACCATCGTGAGTTCCCTTTGGGAACGGACACGATCCTTTACTTTTTTTACTTTTTATGTCCCCTGTTTTTTCTTGTTATGCTACTACAGTGTTACTATGTGCTAGTCTTGCGTTACCCGTTTCTGCAGGCATTGTGTTAGCAATGCTACAGCGCACCTTGCAAACTACATCACACGGCAATGAAGGTCTGGCCCGGACGTCACAAGCAACCTCCATCACCACCACCTGTACCACCAACACATCAATGACGACGACGGTGGCTAGCGCTGCACTAGGCTTGCCAATGCGGCGCGGCGCTGGCGGCGGAGATAGTGAAGCGCTGTGCAACATGCACGAATCGCTTTTCCGGCTCGGTAAGTCCGGGCCTGCTGGTGTTTCTCTTCACCGTGGTGCTGATGCTGCTGTCGCTACTGCGAGAATAGTTACGGTGAAACCTGTCTAAGATGACCGCTCAAGGGACCTTCAAAAGGTGTCTTTGTGACCAGGTGGCCTCCTTATCCAGGGTCATTTGACTGAGAATAGCATCCCTTGGTTTTGGTTGTAGTGGTCCTCTTGAACAGGTGGTCACCTTAACAGGTTTTGCTGTATTTTCAAAAGTCCATCGCAGATGGGGCACTATTCAAGAGAGAGCACTATTCAAGAGAGAGCACTATTCAAGAGAGGGCACTATTTTTTTGACATTAGGGTGCAAAATCCTGCATTCTGGGCACTGTTGACATTGTGTTTAAAAAGAGTGGCCGGACCGGCTGCTACACCCCTGACTATTCGAGATAGGGCACCACTACTCAAGAGAGGGCTCTCTAATCGTGCGCGCGCGATTGCGGTAGGTGCATGTGCGTGCTTGGTGTGCAGTAAAAACCACGGTGCAATCAAAAGTGGTCGTTTAAAGCCAGGTGGTCTTTAGAACCAGGTCCTGCACATCCCCGGCATATCAGATCGACATGTATGTACCGGTGCATGTACAGCATATGTACAGTAAAAACCTGTGACTAACAACCACCCCTTGGTGCCAGAGAAAGCGGTCTTTAGTGGCAGGTGGTCCTTAGTTAGAGGTTTGCACCGCACAACCATTATATGAATGTGAGACCGTCCCTGCCTGACGAAGTGGTCTGTAGTGCCAGGCTGGTCTCTAGTCACGGTGGTCTTTAGTTACAGGTTGTACTGTAGTACCAGGCTGGTCGCTAGTCACGGTGGTCTTTAGTTACAGGTTGTACTGTAGTACCAGGCTAGTCGCTAGTCACGGTGGTCTTTAGTTACAGGTTTTACTGTAGTACCAGGCTGGTCGCTAGTCACGGTGGTCTTTAGTTACAGGTTTTACTGTAGTACCAGGCTGGTCGCTAGTCACGGTGGTCTTTAGTTACAGGTTTTACTGTAGTACCAGGCTGGTCGCTAGTCACGGTGGTCTTTAGTTACAGGTTTTACTGTAGTACCAGGCTGGTCGCTAGTCACGGTGGTCTTTAGTTACAGGTTTTACTGTAGTACCAGGCTGGTCGCTAATCACGGTGGTCTTTAGTTACAGGTTTTACTGTAGTACCAGGCTGGTCGCTAGTCACGGTGGTCTTTAGTTACAGGTTTTACTGTAGTAGCAGGCTGGTCGCTAGTCACGGTGGTCTTTAGTTACAGGTTTTACTGTAGTACCAGGCTGGTCGCTAGTCACGGTGGTCTTTAGTTACAGGTTTTACTGTAGTACCAGGCTGGTCGCTAGTCACGGTGGTCTTTAGTTACAGGTTTTACTGTAGTACCAGGCTGGTCGCTAGTCACGGTGGTCTTTAGTTACAGGTTTTGCTGTAGTGCCAGGCTGGTCGCTAGTCACGGTGGTCTTTAGTTACAGGTTTTACTGTACTCTTGTTGACAGGTGTGGAGTATAGAATAGGTTCATGCAGGGAAGGCACCCATGAGTTTCACACCTCACTCACGTGCATGCAGCGCACCCCTGCAGTCACTCACTACAGTTAAACCTGGTTTAAGGGACCACCCCACGGTGCAAGCAAAAGCGGTCGTTAAAGCCAGGTGGTCTTTAGAACCAGGTCCCACAG